TATATATATATATATAACGTGCTCTAAGGCGCCCCTTCAGAAGTTGTTATTAGTTTGAATTCCCAAATTAAGTTGTTGCTGAGATTAATAAAAGGTCCCTTCATTAATGATGTTATTGTACAAGTATAATTAAGGCGTTCTTCAACCGTCTTGCTACTATTATACTAATTTTATTAAGGCAATAGATTATTCTGATTGAATTTCGAACGTCGTTCTCACGCCCTTATGGGATGAACATTTGGCTTATGCATCTATTTTTGAAATCTCAATAAATCAATGTTCCCAAAGATGACTTTTAGCTGTCAAACATTGATTTGCTTGGGATAAAACTTGTGAAAGTATGCCTACTACTCTTTTCTTACAATCCGAAATTGGTCAAGTAAACTAAGCTCACAAACGAAAGGTCCTTGGTCATCCTTCCTCAGAGGTGACATATAATTAGTGGAAAAGGAGAATCTTTAACTTTTCTCTAGTAACAATCTTAACATATAGTATAATACTCAAGTTGCAACAAAAATATTGGGAATAACTTTTTCTTTTGTATTCAAGATTCAAGAAGCATAACATGAGCTGTTTAACAGACTGAAGCTGTTTATTTATGTTTGATATTCTATGAAAGTTGAAATTGATAGTATAAGTTTATCACAATACGTAAAGTTGTTCAAAGAAGCTCAGTTGTCACCTTTTCTATATCTTAAAATGTCACATCTCTCAAGTTTCCTTGCAAGTTCTTCTATTGACCTCCCAGTACTCCACTTTTCGATTGTATTTCATTTTGATATTGAGGTGGGATAATAATCCAAGGATTAATTAATCTCGAAATAAATACTAAAATAACAAAAATACCCTTCTCCAAAGCTATTCCCCCCTAAGTCTTCTAAACAATCTAGGATTAAAATTGTAAATAAAAGTTTATCCCAACTTATCTAGTTTTCACTAACACATGTTTATATTATATCTTGTATCTCCCATTTTAGTCCAAATGAACCAAACATCTTCCAATAAAAATATATTTATTAAATAATCCTGTCATTATTTAATCCACTTATTATAATCCCATTATTATAATCCAGGATTAACCGGTTCCCCTACCAAATGATCCCTTAGAGTTGTAGATCGAGGATGAGTTCAATTCTATGGGTTCAATTGACTAAACCCTTATTTTCGCTTGAATTTTTGTATAATATACATATATAAAAAGGTGAAAATTTAAAATGTCGTAACATATTATTAGACCACATTCATTTATTAAAATGTGTGTGTGTGTTAATATCTATTTTCTCGGACTCTTTAAATATGGTATTGCACCTGTGTCGAAGATCCTCTAAAAGTATATGACTTTTGGAGAATCGGACACACAGACGTCAACATTTTTAAAGAATCCGAGCAACATAGGTTAATATACCTACTAAAAAGTTTGATTTATTGGGGGTTCCAAACAACAGCTTAAGGAGCACTACAGAATATCTCAATGAAATTCAGTATCCTCAGCAAACAATAATTGGGGTTAGTTTTAACATTTAAGTGTATTTTTTCAAGTGTTAATATTGGCATGCTCGTTGTTCAATAACTGATTGTATATATGTGCCATCATTCCTTTGATTTTATTATTTATATATTCTCAACGGGGTTAGTTAAAATCCTCACAAATCACAGAATCTGATAAAATATCTCAACTCCTACACTTTTGCAGTGCTACCACATTATAGACCTTGCAAAAAATTATAATTGCATGTGATGAGTGCACTGGAAATATTGGATAATTAAATAGCCATTGCAACTGATTGATAAAGTACATGGTAATAGAAAATATTTCAGAAATTATTCTAACAAGAATATGTAATACATATTGAGGGGAGTCTCGGAGCAATGATAGCGTAATCTTTGTGTGACATACATGTCAATTGGTTACGTGGCTCACGGGTTCGGCCGTAGAATCAACTACTAATGCTTGTATTGGGATAGACTGCATATATCACATTTCTTGAGGTATGACCCCTTTTCCAGACCCTGTGTGAACACGGGATACTTTATGCGTATGGCTGCCCTTTATTTAAAATATATAATACATATATAAATTAATAGTCTAGCTACCATATTAGTCTAGAGTCTAGCTAGGATATATAAATCAACTGTGGAAGATCGTATATTTTGGTTAACACATGAAGCAAGCAAGATTATTAATTAAACTCTAATCATAACCACTAATTAGATCATGATCCAATGATTAACATATCCTAAAAATGATAAAAGGAAGTTATAATTTCTGTTGCTTGAGAATTGAAATTACTATAGGTGTGGGACCAGAAAATCTTCTTGCAGCTGCTGTTTTTAATTGTTTTTGCACCAAAATCAGAATCCTAATGATCTTATGCTAGTATCCCTATAAGGCTATGAGAAAAACTTAACTACTCTCTAAACATTCAAACATTGTGTTTTTTTTTAACATGGCGCAATATTAAAATTGTATTAAGTTCTAATGACAAAAATTACTAACTACGTGGTAAAGGAAACACAACTGAAGGGAACTCTTGGATCGACAATGAAGTTGTCTATGTGTGACCAGGGGCGGAAGGGTATTTACCCGAACCCCTTCGCCGAAAAACTACGCTATATACATAAGATAAAATCTATTTCTTACCTTTATATAGTATGTTTTGAATCTCTTTGATATAGCCTAAAAGCATAGCTTAGTGGTCAATGGGATTTAAAACCTTTGTAAGGTCATTGGTTCTCTATTCCCACTAACTACAATCTTTTTAAATTTTTTCTATTTTGAACCCTCTTAGCGGAAATCATATCTCCGCCACTGCGTGTAAACTATAGGTTATAAGTTCAAGTCATGGAAGCAACCACTAATTAATGCTTGCATTATGATAGGTTGTCTATATCACACATCTCGGGGTACGGGTCCTTTAACGGACCATGCGCGAAATATTTTGTTCACCATACTGTCCTTTAGTAATGGAAACAACTCAATAGTAGCAACATGTCAATTGTGTGGCGCATTACAAAAAATTAGTTTTATTTGAAATCTCTCAAGAGATTTTTATATTTATACATAAGAGATTACATAAGAAATCTTTGCAGTATTATTTTCTTCGTCTATTCAAATTGTAAAAGGTTATATTGAACTAATTACAGCTACAACCAGTTATTATTCTGTGTTCAGGTTCCATATTAGACTTGATAAGAAGTGTTACCTATTGTCGTTGCTTAGCTTAATAGTATAAAATTTGTTTACACTGTCAATGCAGTGCAAAGAAATAAACTTAATTTGGTACCATAATAAGTGTTTGAATTGTGGAGCTTCTTGTATAATCAATAAGGGTTGTGGTGGAGTTGTAAGTACTTATTCATTCTTAATCAAATGTGTCGGGTTTGAGCCTTGGGTATGGAGTCGATTTTGTTAGGAAGCGCTTTACCCCTAATGTGGGACTTTCTGGTGCGAATCCGAATTTAATCGGGTTCCAGTGTAGGTACCGAACATCGGATGTGAAATAAAATAAAGGAGCTTCATGTATGATAGACACACATACAAAGGTTATAGTATAGTTAGTACTTGTTTAGTGTGGAAGAGAAATCAACAACTATATATATATATATATATANTCCTAATATTTAGGAATAATCATTTAATTATTTTTCTAATATTTACTACTTTGAAATCAAATAAAAATCTAAAATTTTACTTATTAATTTTTTTCTTATTTGAACTATGTCCTAATGTTTAAGACTTTAAAATCAATTAGAACTTTTATAAAAACTTAGTTTCTATTTAGGCAGAACTTCAGGTTTCATCATTTTCCTTTACTTCAAAAAACTTTCACGCATGCTCTTTCTCCACAACTAATAACCTCAAATCTTTTCCTTACTGGTAAAATTTTTAAAAAATTACTAAGCATCTTTATAGAGATTATTACTTTGTCAAATTCATAATTACTTTCACTTTTGTGGCTTGCTACCAAGAATTTATGAGATTTTGTTGCTATAAATCTTGATTGATTCACTTTAGTATAAAGAAACTTTTTCAAAATATGTATTTTCTGGTCAAATTTATATTTTAGTTAAAAAAATGAATAGTGATATTTGTGTTATAAATATTTACTTGGAAGATGATCATTAATGAAATTTTCCTAATCATACATTTTTTATTTTTTATTTTTTATTTTATTTTATAATGCAACTATTTATTACTCTATTATACTATCTATTACATTTATTATTTTACTATTATAAAAGCGGAACGACCAAAGTGAAAAGTTGAAATTGCTCATAGAAAGTCGAACTACATTTTTACATTTCATTCATAATTATACTTAACGTTATACCTACTGTTTTGTACAATGAAATAAGTATTGGAACAAAAAGAAAGAACGACTAGAGCAACCAAACTTAAACATGATTAATATTTATCATTTTGGAGCTTATAGTTTTTTAATAATTTTTATAATGCAAATACATCTTTTGAATATATTTTATGTTACTTTTAAAAAGCCTATTCCTATTGATACAAAGTACAAGAGAATCGCGTTTACCGTAAGACTAATTTGTTAAAATACCCACCCCATATTTCAACTACCATATTTGCTGTGTGATCTTTTTGGAGATTGAGATAATATAGAAGGTTTGAAAAGATGACAGAAGCTAACAGTTGTCACCAGCCATTTAATTTAAACTATTGTATTTGTGAAAAGGTGATCTTTGATCTTGCTTACTCTACATAATCAATCATTGGTTATATATATAGGTGTTATTTGACACAAACTTCATTCAAACAGTACGTTCTCATTTTGGTATAAAGTATAAACTAACCATATTCATATTTTCTTGATCTCTATCTAGAGAAAAGGCTCAAAAAAGAAGAAGAAAGAAATGGCTATTGAGATTGAGAAATCAACAGTTAAGCTCTCAAAAGTTGCAGTCTCAGATACACATGGAGAAAATTCACCTTATTTTGCAGGGTGGAAAGCATATGATGAAAATCCTTTTGATGGAGTTCACAACCCATCTGGAGTTATTCAAATGGGATTGGCAGAAAATCAAGTAAGTATTGTTGGTGAATACATATATAATTAATTAAACTTTTAGACGAGATGATCACATAATTTAATATAGTATTGTCGAGGTCACGATAAATTCTAGTCTCACCCCTTTCATTCTGGGGTGAGGAGGGGCCGTGCCATTCGAGCCGTGTTTTTCCTGGACTCAACATGGGAACAAGCTTGAAAACAACTCTTAGAATACCTCTCTATAACATCATCCATATATAACAATCATTCATTATAAAAGCTAAGTTTTTCGGAACTAACTTTTTATATTATGTTATAACATATGTCCTATATAACAACATTTCATTGTAACAGCCAAAAATTAGTGGAACAAACGACGCTGTTATAGAGAGGTTTGATTATATATATTAAAAAAATTCACGTATTTGGCCTATGAAAAATAATCAAATCGCACGCGAACGGGCGTACGAGAATATAATTATGAAAATAAAAATTAAACAATTTTTAACATGTTAAATTTTTAGATAAAATGATTACAGAAACTACCACAAAATAGGCATTAATTAGGATTATCTAATCTTATGTTATTTCTTTTATCTTTTGAGTAGGTATCATTTGATTTGTTGGAAGAGTACTTGGAAAAACAAACAGAAGAAGCTAGCTGTGGAAGTGGAAGAATTTCTAGCTTTAGGGAAAATGCTTTATTTCAAGATTATCATGGACTTCTTTCTTTTAGAAAAGCAATGGCTAGTTTCATGGAACAAATAAGAGGTGGAAGGGCAAAATTTAATCCTGAAAGAATTGTTATTACAGCTGGTGCAACAGCTGCTAATGAGTTATTAACATTTATTCTTGCTGATCCTGGTGATGCTTTGCTTGTTCCAACTCCTTACTATCCAGGGTAAGTTCTATTTATAGTAACTAATATTTATCGAAAAAAGTTCAAAAATACCCCTTTACTATACGAAACATCTTAAATTTACCATGTGTTATACTTTGAGGTCGTTTATACCCTTGTCGTTAGCACAAACATGTTGTATTTATCGTTGACCCTGGCGGAGCTCCAATCTGAAGTATAACGGAGGAGCTTTGTTGAAGTCATGATAAATACAAGACAATTTGTTTACGACAATAGTATGAATGATCTGAGAGTACAAAAGAGGATAAACTTAAGATTTCGTATAGTAAAGAAGCAAATTTTGACATTTCCCCTATTTTTATTCACTGATCACAACTTAGGTACTATGTTATGCTATTAACTTATGATCCTCCTTTTAATTTAATTTTTACAGGTTTGACAGAGATTTGAGGTGGAGAACAGGTGTAAAAATAATTCCAGTCCATTGTGACAGTTCAAATAATTTCCAAGTTACACCACAAGCCTTAGAATCAGCCTATGAGGAAGCAAAATCCAACAACATCAAAGTTAGAGGAATACTTATAACAAACCCTTCAAATCCTTTAGGAGCAACAATTCAAAGATCAATCCTTGAGGAAATTCTAGAATTCGCGGTTCGAAAAAACATCCATCTTGTCTCAGATGAAATCTATTCTGGTTCAGTATTCTGTTCCTCAGAATTCATTAGCATTGCTGAAATTCTTGAATCAAGAAATTACAAGGATTCAGAGAGAGTTCACATTGTGTATAGCCTTTCTAAAGACTTAGGATTACCTGGATTTCGAGTTGGGACAATTTATTCATACAATGATAAGGTTGTCACAACAGCTAGGAGAATGTCGAGTTTTACCTTAATTTCTTCTCAGACACAACAACTCTTGGCGTCCATGTTGTCAGACAAGAATTTCACGAACAAATACATTAAGACGAATCGCGAGAGATTGAGAAAGAGATATGAAATGATAATTGATGGATTGAAGAGTGCTGGAATTGAATGTTTGAAAGGAAATGCAGGTTTATTTTGTTGGATGAATTTGAGTCAATTATTGGATAAGCCAACAAGAGAATGTGAATTGGAACTTTGGAATTCAATATTGTGTGAAGTGAAGCTGAATATTTCTCCAGGATCTTCTTGTCATTGTTCAGAGCCTGGTTGGTTTAGAGTTTGTTTTGCTAATATGAGTGAACAAACACTAGAAATTGCACTCACAAGATTGCATAATTTCATGCAAAAAAGAATACAAAAGAGTCTTTTTTAATTCTTTTTGGTTTCAGGAAATTAATTCCATTTTTGACTGTTATTGGATTAGTTCTCTCAATGATGCCAATTGTCAATTCCGAGAATTGGATTTTGTACTCAAACACTGCAAATCTACTGAATTCAAGTTATACATAGAAATTAGAATTACTACTTCAGTTTCATTTTATAAGATTCTTTTAGTATGTTTACAAAACATTGGCACCGTTCTATATTCCGAGATTGTTGTTTAAGTTTAAAACTTTTTATTTTATCATTAATAACATACTTTAATTTATAATCATGAAAATATCATGGTATATTTTCATACTACAGGCTTTAATGATACAATTATAATATGTATCAAATAATTTATAATTTTGAGTTTCGTGTTCAGCCAAGAGCCAACAACAACCATAATTAAAATGAAACGATCGAAGGGAGAGTAGTATTTTAGTTCTGTTTAGAATATATGTTTTTCCTCGTGCAACAGTTTCTATAGGTGTATCAGTGTGTGGTTGGAGAAAGTGCAATAAGTTTATCTCATGCTATATTTTATTAAGAGTTGACCGAGTCATTATTCAATTCAAGCAAGAAATGTATTTCCTTTCCAAGTTTTTCCTAGAGCAACGAGATTGCCTACAAAGATAGTATAAATAAAGAAAGGATTTAAGCATAGGCGGATTGAGAATTTACAATTTAGTGTGATTTAACTAGTTATAATAAGAAGAGACGAGTTTAGAATTTAAATGTAATGGATTCGAACTTTGTTTACCTTAAAAAAATGGATAACAATTGAATTTGTATGTGGTTTTAAGGATATGCGGATTAATTCAATATAAATAATAAAAAACGTTAAATTAAATAGATAAAGGACGTAATAAATTATCAAACAATTTAAGATGAATGACTCCGAACTTAGTAACAGTTTAATGAAATGTCTGTCTTCGATCCCGGGCTCATTATAACAAAGAACTTATGGACAAAAGTAAGAACTTTGAATAACAGAGAAAATAAGAGTATATTGCCTTGATATGCATATTACAATGTGTCTAATGAATAGTTAGACTCCCCTTTATATGGTAGGAGAATTTTACCCTAAATACAATTCCATAAAAGATAAAAATCTTCTATTTTGCTAATCATAAATTTTCTGCAGATACGTGCCGAGATTCACACTGTGACATCCGGCTGGACGCGGATATCACGACCCTTTGCTAGTTGTGCTCGATTATCTGGTAATGCGTTCCGAAGTTTTGGGATTCGAATCGGACCTGGGGGATTTGGTCTCGATTCTTCCGAGGGCAGGTGTTTTGACCGGACCCCGACTCGAGTGACTCCTTGCCCCGATTCTGGTTCCTTACGATTATGTATCTGCTCCGTTTACTCTATTGAGAACAGAGGTGTCCAACAGGCTCGATTTCACCCGTATACAAATAGTCTCCTCGTTTCTTGGAGAGTAAGTTTACTGAAACGACGAGAAACGACATATACACTTCGATCCCTTCTTCAATACGTCGTGACAAAAACGACAAAGAATCTGAAATGTCCCGTCAGTCGTGTCGTCATGATTTCAAACACGCATCAGGTATCGGCGGGTCATCCCTGAATGCGAAACGACGCGAAACCTCTATAAATACTTTCCTCATTTGTTCATTTTTTACCTTTTGGCCAAGCTTCTACCTTCGAGTTTTCAGGATATCACTACCCTTCTTCACACTCTAATAATTTTATCTCTATTCTTCAAGACTTCAAAGTAAGTTGCAAGTTTTTACCTAATTTTTACCCAAATCAGCGCACCTGACTTTTCATATTTCAACATTTTCTCATATTTTAAAGCTTTTTCTAGATAACAATGGCTAAAACTTCCAAACCTATTCTCCAACAAGTCGTTTCTTCTACTTCGTAACTGACCGCTGAAACCGAGGAGATCTCTCTCGATGTGGTCATCCTCGAGAGATCTTCTCCTGGCGCGGCTACCGATAAACCGACTGCCGAGCCTCCTTGAAAATGTTCATTTCCGGGGGTTGTTCAATTGCCGATAACTTTAAGGTTGAGAAGCCCTCGTCGGTGCAGGGCCAAAGTGAAGGAGTATCAAGATATATATGCTCAATTACCGAAGACGTCCTCCCCGCGGTCCTAGAGGACTGCAACTAGGCAGGTAAGAACGTAGTAGTCCCCGGGCCTGCAGACGCCATCACTACCCACGTGGAGGGGTATCTAAGTGTTTACAATTATCCCTTCACATTGGGCCCGGTGGACCCGATTATTTTGGATTTCTGCAAGAGGTACGAAATATGCCTCGGTCAAATCCATTCATCGTTGTGGAGGATCATGATCCTCCTTCATTCTTTTGTGAACAAGACCGAATCTCGTCGGTTCATCATCAATCACTTACTCCGCCTACATAGTCTCCGAATCTTCCGAGGAGGACTAATAAAGCTCAGATGTCGGGCCCGTAAATCCCCATTCTCGAGCAACGATGAGGACCGGGATCGGGGATGGCAGGGGCATTTCGTTTGAGGGAAGACTGAAGACTTGGTTCCCTTCAAACTCATGCCATTCCCCGAGAAGTGGAATGCATCTCGTAAGTATGGTTTCCCTTTGAACACCATTTTACCTCCATCTCCTCTTTTCTTACTGGTATTTGCGATGGTGAAGCCGTCGCTCGAGTACCAAATGCTATCCCTCGGCTCAAGGAGTGGATTGAGGGCATTTGTTCACATATGCCTTATTCCGAGCGCTCATGGTGCAGACTCTCGAGGGGCCGTTAGGAGGCCCGTTCTCACGGTAAGACCCTTTCTCGACTAGGTAACATTTGGCTCTCCAATTCGCATCATACTTACCCTCTTTTCTTCACTTTTCCTTTTCTAGGTTTGCCTAAGACCATTGAGCTTTGACCTTCAGTAGAGGGACGAGGATCCGTCTGTTGACCCCTCCGCTTTGGGGCAGCTCGGGGCTGCAGGAGGAGAAAAGAAGAAAAGGAAGGCTCCGGGATCCCCGAGCTCAAAGAAAAGTAGGATCGTAAGCCAAAGGAAAGTTCTAGCTCTCGAGCACCCAACTCAGATTCGCTTTATCGGCTCAGGGATGAGCCCGAAGAAGATGATTTTTTCGTGGCCCATGGACCGACATCCCCCGATGAGCAAGAAGCCATTAAAGAGGAGATCCATGAGGCTGATCCCCCTCAGGCTCGGTGGGTCGATGAGTAAATTGAGGTCGAGACTTCCCGGGATGCCGGCTACGCCCCGAAGGAGGCACCCAGTGTAATAGATATTTCAGGGTCACCTTCTTATACTGAGTCCATGCTCGAGGAGGCCTGAGCAGGAAAGGAGAGGTCTAACTAAGGGACTCGTGGCATGGACGATCCCCTTCGTTCCTTTTTCGACGGTGTGGACTCGTTCGCCTTGTAGGATTTTTCTAGGTTAGGAAAACTGGAAGTGCCGAGAAGGAGTCTTCTTCAGAAGTCGGCAGGCTGAATTCAAGCTCGAAGTTAGTCAACCAATTCCCTGCCCCGACTATAGATCTCGGCCGAAAGAGGTCGATAGTCATTACTATCCCTGAGGATGCCCGAGTTCTTTCCGCTCCCATGGGAGTAGCGAGCCACCTTCGATGCCTGGTGATCGAAGAAGACCAGACAAAAATGAACGAGGTGGATGTACCATGTTTGTTTAATGAGGCGCAGTAGGCAGTGAATCGGGTAAGATATCATTACGATCTTTCGACCTTTGACTTAGTCCTTGATATTTCTTATGTCTTATTTCTTTTACCCTTTCGCAGGCCTTGGTACTCAATCACGAAAGCTTTATTCAGTACTGGACCGAGGTTAACCAGCTCGAGGATGAGATCAAGGAGCTTACCGAGAAAAGAGACATGTATAAGCTTCTCAGCGAGCAACACGAAGGAGTCGTCAAGGATCTCCAGGCCGAGATAGATATTGCTCAGAAAAAGCATGCTGACTTGGTCAAAAAGGTAAAGGTTTTCGAAGTTAGCAATGAATACTTAGCCATGGAGACTAACGATCAAACCTCGCAGTTCAGTAGAAGATTGACCGGATCGACTAACCCCGAGCTGAAATGAACGAGGTCCAAGCCATGACCGATGTTTGGAAGGGCAAAAAGGATTGGCTGACTTTGGAGAAGGAGACCGCCCAGACAAAGCTGGCATCGGTAGATGTTCAACTCTGAGTGGCAAAAGAAAAGACTGATAAGCGAGCCTAGATGAACGAGGAACTCCGATCTTAACTGAACTCAACCCTGGCAGAGTGGGACGCCCTCGACAGTGAATGTGAAGCTGTAAAGGCTCATATGCGCACAACCTATGCCGATGCTGAAGATATGGTAGACCATTATATGGCCGATGTCGAGGCATCTGAGGCCCGCCTGAAAGCCATTCTTGAGTACGTGAAGCAGTTATCTCAAAGGGAGACCCTCGAAGAGATCCATGCACGAGGCTTCGACCTATCTTCCGAGATCAAGCAGGCGAAAAGGCTCGAGGTCGAGGCCAAGAAGCTGGCTGAACCTAAGGATGAAGAAGGCCTATATGGCTCCGAAAACTCGAAGATGAAGAAGGCCCTGACGGCTCTGGTAACGATGCGGGTTCTGATGAAGATCGGGCGTAGGTGCCTTAGGAATCTTTGTCTTTATTTTTGCACCTTGTACATTTATTTTGTTAAGACCATTTTCATTGGCCTTTGTAAAGATATTCTAGAATGTATATATGAAGTTTTTCTCCCTTTTGGCAATTTTCAAGTTTATTACCTTTAGCATCATTTTTACAATTGCAAAGATTTCAAATGCCTTAGCACGGAATAAAATGTAGTAATAAGTTGCTTTTCGGAGGTCCGAACAAGACTTGTCCTAGATGCAAGTTTTGTTTGAAACTTATGGGGGCTAGGAGTGACCGGAAGCTTTCCCCAAGATGTTTGTTTAAATGTTTTTAGCTATAAATTTGCCGAGGGTAACCTTTGAACAGGTTTGGAATTTTGTTGAAGGCCTTATGTTTTGATTACGGGTTTCGGGCATCTTCAAACCATTTTTAGGGTGGCCGTAGCCTTTTAGGTTTGGGCACTACCTACTAGGTTTTGTGCCTTCGAGTTTCGATAACCCGAGCCGTCTGAACTTATCCAGTACGGCAGTCCCTGAGTGAGGGTAGCCCTT